TCGGTGAGGTATAAGTGGACCTATCCGGGACGTCGGTACGGATTAAGTGGACTCATCCGGTACGCCGGTGAGGTATAAGTGGACCTGCAAGGATTAAGTGGACCTATCTGGGACGTCGATAGGGATTAAGTGGACCTATCTTGGACGCCGATAGGGATTAAGTGGACCTATCAGGACGCTGATGGGGTATATAGGTGACCTACTTGGGACGCCAGTAGGGTATTTTGTGAAATCCTTTGAATTATGCATTGACGCGTTAAAGTGTTATGTGCATTTCAATTATTCGGATTATACTTAATTATGCATTTATTGAAAGTGAAACTGTTGATGCATTTCTGTTAATAGATCTTCTTTTTGAAAATATTGATATCTTTCAACCATGATTATTTTTAGAATTATGATGATCACTTACTGAGTAGCCAAACTCATCAAACAATGGTAAACATTTTTCAGGATAACTGCGGTTTCATTTGTGTCCTCGTCAAGATCAACTTTGGGAAGATATTGTAGTTTTGCTTAAACCTTCTTTTGTTACTTTGTAAGACCTCGCCACTGTAAATTTATCCTATCAATAGATGTATATATGTTTTGTCTGTCACATTTCGGGGTGTGACAAGCTTTCACAAAGCCACCCAAATTTAACCCATTTTGAAACATTAGATTTAAGTTAACAATTCACAATGGACATATAGTTACTGGCATGGCTTTGAGCCGCGGCTCCACTTTTGTTGTAAGACCGCGGTCTCACTTTCATTAGTGAGGTTGCGGCCTGGGGCTGGGAATGGGCCCAAATCCACCCGAATCTAGATTTAGGTCCGAAAGGCATATAAAAGATCCAGATAGATACAAAATAATATATAAAAAAATATTATACAGCATATATACATATATATAAAATAATATAATATATTAAAAATTAAGTTGAAGTTTTGTGAGATCCATCTATATTCAAATCCAAATCTGAGTTATCGGATCCAAATCTTGGATCCATACCCAGATCCAAATAAAACCTAATCTGACGATGGTAAATATATTCTTACACAGGGTAGATTCTCAGCCCCTTAAGCTAATTGAACCACGGTCAATATATTCTTACACAATGCACGTGTAAACTCACACGTTTGCACCATGCTCTCTCTCCTCCCTCCTCGCTGCATTTATTCCCTCTCCATTTGCAGGCCTCCAAAGGTAATTTCCCATTGTTCTCCTCTGAAAATTTCTAGGACTTTCACTGTGAAGGCCATGAATTCTATCAAACCGGAGGAGAAGGAGAAAAGTCCATCAAAAATTGAAGAAAAAGACCCTCTGGTTCAGTACGTGGTTTTGAGAAGAGACCTCATTGATTCATGGCCGCTTGGTAGCGTAGTAACTCAGGGTTGCCACGCCTCTGTTTCCGCCATTTGGTGTTTCAGGGATGACCCATTAACCAGTCGATATTGTGCCCCTGATGATATTGATCACATGCGTAAGGTTAGCTCTTTCTCTCTTTCTCTATCTATCTAGGTAAAAATTCCCCTCATTCTCTGACATACACTCTCTCTACAATCATTTTCTTGTTTTCTCTCTCTAGAATGGGTCCTCTGATTTCTAGGACATGGTTAATGGGTTTTCTGATTTTTGTGTTATGGTTTCTCAAGTAGTGACATTTATTATGAATAACAGTGGCTAATTCAGAGTATTTGATTGTGGTGAGATTATTAGTGTTTTTGGTATCAATTTTTCAATTTTTTGGAGAACTTTAGGGCTCTAGGTTTTATGACAAGGTTTGTGAAATTGTCTAATTTATGCATACAAGAAAAAAAATGTGAATGTAGCTAATGTGCATTAAAAAAAATGAAGAATAAAAATAAAAGGTATATACTTGCCATTTGGTCTTTTTTTATTCTTGTTTTTTACTTATTGGGGATCTTTTTTGGTGATGTTGGGGGGTTTCCATAAAAAAAATTTGAAATTTTTTAGTACACAGTAAAATTTTGTTTACCTCAAAACCTTACATTTCACTGTCCTTTTGTTGCTTATCCTGGTGAAAACTAGTAGTGATAATGTTAAATAAACTGATATTTAGAAGTAATCCAATAAGCAATTTGCAATTGAGTTTTTGTACATTGTGAAAATTGAATCCAAATTTTTGTTGATATCACATATGGTATTGTTTCTTAACCTTGACCTAGTTTCTTTGCAGTAGCCTTCATCTCATGATTTAGTTACCTTCTAATCTTGCTTATTATTTCTTTGGTATGCAACCATACAAGGATAGAAGAGAAGAAATTATAGTGCATTTGTTTATGTTTTGTGGAACAACTAAGTAGTATAAGTTGGGAGATTTTAGTTAAATGAAAATTTGAGCTATGCCTTGCACCCCAATTGAAGTTTGAAACAAGCATTAAATATGAAGTTGAGGATCTATTTTGTAGAGAACTTGAGCTTCCTTAGTTGAGTTAGTTGGAGATGGATGGGATCTAGTGTTACACACAGAGTAAATATTAAGTTTTGGCGTTTGTGATGAGAGGATTATTAAATTTTTTGGATAGACTCGTCATCATCATTAGAACCTTTTTCCTAAGTATTTGGGGATAGACTATTGAGAATAAAGTTTTATTCTACTTATTTGAAGAAATCGTTACTGCTTATTATCCGAAAATCTTATATAGTTTAGAAGGTTATAGATCTATTTCCCCCAAATTTCCAATTGTCATAAAAGATGGTCTAGATTTGTCCTTGTGAGAACCTCATATTTTAGTTATGAGATATTTCAGCTAAATCCTCTTGCCATTCCTGTTATCAAGCCTTTGTAGGTAAGGCACACCGTTCTTACAATGAACTAAAAAGTTATGGAATGATAGAACACTTTGTTGGTAGAATTTTTTAACTGATCCGTTACCCTTGCATCAGCACCTTAGAGACCCACTTGAAAAATGTCACATTTATCTGGCCTTGAAAGAAATTTTAAATTCCATTTTGGTAAAAGATAGTGTGTTTTCATTCATTTCTAGAATTCATTTGCACTTACCTTTGGTTTGACCATAAAGTTGTGGTATGAAATCTCGGATTTTTATGGCAGATGTTTGATGCGTTAAAGAAAAAGGTGCTACAAAAGCCCCATCTGCTACATGTTTGACACTAACTTGAGATGAACTTCATAAATCCTTAGTGAAGGTTTAATTTTTTGTTGCTGAGACTTGAGGACCTAAAACTTCTTCAGAACTATGTTCAAGGACACGATATGAGAATCCATCACCTAACCTTGCTTTTCACATCTAATGGCTAATGGTGATTGTGAACTCTTTGCATCAAAAGTGAAAGAAAAACAATGCACTTGTCCAATTCATTGACACTCGGCCCCAATGGTGCAGAGACATGTCTTACAAAAGGACATGCATGTCTTACAATGCGGACACGCGTTTTACAAATGGGGGCACTTGTCTTGTTTGTCCAATCTGTGGACTCACTGGTCCAGATTGCAGAAATGTTGTGTTCCCCAATCCAGAAAATTAACTTTCCATAATAAAAATGCAGTCATTTAAAAAAATGTGAATCCAAAAAATGACAATTTTTTGAGACACATATCCACACAGATTTCCCATGTTTGTATGTATATGTTGCATGTTGACACGTGTGTCTGGTGCATTGCTGTGTTTGATTCTCCTAAGTACACGCAACACACATGTCATTGTTACATAGCTTAGTAATATGCTCATTATAAGCAACAAACAATCTATATCTTATGCTACTCTTTTTCCTATCAAGTCTCTCTTGAAAATCAGAAAACTGGAACTCTCACTTTAGGCCAAAAGAACATCCTTTACATAAATTGCATGTTTTTCTTGTCCTGAATGTTTGGATAGAAAACACGGATCCTTGGATTTCCTTACTGTCTATTGCTTATCCAACAAGAAAAAGATGAAAAGAATAATCAAGTAGACATAAGTTAACTTTATGAAGAAACAGATCAAACATTAGCTTTATATGTGTCACCTTGCAGGTCACTCTTGAGGTGAAAGGAGAATCCCAAATCCTGAATTTATCCGAAAAGCTTAAAGCTGGTGGAATCGACCATAAATTGTGGATCGAGCAACCCGAAAACATTCCCACCTGTCTGGCTACAAAGCCTTATCCTAAATCTGTAGCTTCTTCATTCTTCAAGAAATTGAAGCTCTGTAAGTGACTAAATTATTACTTAAAATTTTGAGCATATATCCTTGTCAACATTGAAAAGAACTCGAGCTTCAAAGCTGAAGATTCAACCTGAATAACTAGGGAAAGAAAACATTTTGAGAGGTCATATTTCATTACTCTCTCTGGGTCTTTCTCGTTCCTTCGAATGCTCTGCTGCATGATTCATTTTGAATAGATGATGCACCTTAAGAGGTGGTTGCTTTGTGGTGTTCCTCCAAAATCTCATCTGAGTTATAATGGAATATTCAGATTGTATCGTAGAGCTTTAGTACCATTTTTGCGATGACTCTTTTTTCTTTTGGAACAAGTGTTGTCAAGGTCAGTTGTTTATATGTCATGGTTTTTCAACTATCCGTTTTCCAGTTCTAGCTGAGATTTTAACTTTGATTGGAAATATTCATTGACTAAAATTGTACGAGATTCAAGATTTTCTTTTCTTTCTTGTTTTGGTGATCCACTGAGATTATTTAATAACTCAAATGTTAGGAACAAAAATTAGTGAAATCATGAATTGAAATATGAATTCAATGTTAGGAAATCAGGCAAAACTTAAGCGATAATTCATTTTTGCACCAGTGTTCATTCTTTTTCAAGTGAATTACCATTTGAGAGCGACTGATCAGCTTCTATTTAAACATATGGGGATTATCATTTTTGGTTACTCTTTTGGTACAAGAAATTAATTTGTTTTCACTCATAAGAAGAAACTAGTAAAGGAGCATGAGAATTATGACCACATTGTATGTAAAGCATTCTCATTTAGAAACCGTGAGGGTGCTGATCTCCACTATCCATCATTTCGAACTAATTGGTGTCGGTTATATGAATCATGGTATCCCATTCTACTCTATCTCCACTATGCATCAATTACTTTAAATATTAATAACTTTTGTCAAGCTGTAACTAAAGTTGCATGGCCTTTAGTCAAAATTTCATCGTGTGATGGTGGACAGTGGAGGTCATATGGGATTGTATACAATGAGACTGTTGCCTCTTGTGCGTAAATATAAAATATGCAAACACCTCAAGCTATCAAATGAACTATTCGACAATTGGGGCCTGTTATTTCCCTGTAATAAATTTGAGGAAAGTTCCTTAAACTTCAAGCATGACTAGAGGTGCACACTATCTGATGACTCTGACCTGTAAACCATCTCTTATTATATACATTCGCTTTTCATTTAAGATTTTTCATTTTTTCTTGTATAAGAAGTTCCCTTGTCCTAATCAAACCATATATTAGTCAACATTTCTCAAAAAATCAGCCATATATTATATGGAGATAAAGGAGTCTTAAGTTAAAGGATGCCTGATATTCTTTGAGGTTATCTTAAACTACAAGTATAACAAAGCAGTGCTTAAGTTTGGTAAATATTTATGTGCCTTCATAGGCAATATATTTTATGTGTTTAGAGACTCGCAGTTGTTTGATTTTAATTGGATGGTTATGAGTGAACCGATGATAATGTCACGTGCTTCAACTACATATATTTATGAGTTAAAAAATTTTGGGACAAATGAAAAAAAAAAAAAAATTTAAAAATAAAATATTATTTTATGTCAAGAAGTAGTGAAGACTTTAAATTTTGACTTAATTCAAACCCTGATAAAAGAGCTGGGTTGTGTTAGGCAAAACAACCAACATAAAACTTTGTCAAAATTTTCTATGAATCTTGAATCTATGTTATCTATTTATGCTAGGGTTTTTTTATAGCCTCACTGAGGGTATATCTTTTAATAGAGCAGAATGGCAGACTAGGATTCATGTAGCTGCTCTCAAATAGGTAGAAAAATGTTATGATGATGATTATTTTAATATCAGAAATTAAATGAGTGATAAACAACAAAGAGATGAAATGATGAAGTTCATTTTTTTGGTTTTAGGCGGCTATCGCTATTGATGAGGACGCCCACGCCCAAGTGGTGAATTCAAAGGGCGAGCTATTAATTTCTTAAATATATGATTTAGGGAAATTTTTCTAAGTTGCAGTAACATATCAACTATTTAATATTTTTATCTTTTTCAACTGTTTCATGTGTATTTTGATAGGATTTTAAAATAAATTGGTAAACTATTAAATATGGAGGAAAAGGTTTCTATACTTCCCCTACAACATAGAAGAACTATCCTCCCCTACCATCCAGCTGTTCAATTTTGATCAAGAGAGCCACTCACCGTTTGATCATAGATCCTACGTCTCAAAGTATTTTATTTTTCTTTTTTTTTTAATACAAGTTATATGAATATGAAATTTGGTACGTGCTATTTTTTCATTGGGGCACACCTATGAAAAAATCATTTTTTGATAAAATATAATAACCAAAATACCTCTTGAAATTTTTAGAAGTATTTTAGTCATTTTATTTTATTGGAAATATTTTTTTTATATTTTTCGCTAGTGCGAGTTTAATAGATGATTGGATGTCCAAAATTTGGTGTCAAAATAGTTTATAGAAAAAAAATTAAAAATAAAATAGTTTAGAGTCGTGACATTGTGATTAGGGTAATCTTAGCCCTCCATTTAGAGTGGATGGTTGGATAAGGGGAAGTATATAAGTTTTATACCGTAGGAGAAGCATAGAAAGCTTGCCCAAATATGGAGGGGCATTTTGATAAACTTTCCTATAATTTATGTTACAGTCATTCAATTTTGATAAGACAAATAGCAGTCGGCCAATAATAATTTTACAAAGTAATTGCAGTTTAACAAAAGTAATTCACACTAATCTCTTACATTATTTGCAGCTCACTGCCTATCGTTTAATCAAGAATAAGTTGTCGTCACCCTTCACAAATGTAAACTATATAGGTATAGAAAACCAACAAATTAAAGGGAAAGTATACAATGCGATCGTTTATCTTTTGTACAAAGTGAGCACAATTAATCATGACCTTTAGATGTGAAATTATTTCACTAACCACAAAGTTTAAAAGAAAATTTCTTGAACTTTATAACACACTCAAGCTATCAAATTTCATAACGGATGGTTACAAACAATTGTGACTTCTTTGTACAATAGTCGCATTGTATCCAATCTCATAATTAAATCGCCTGCAAAATTATAATTTCTTGTCTATTAAGAATAAACTCAATGTTTAAACCTTGTTACCCACCCCCAACTATAAAAAATAACATAAATGCATGTATCTATAATTTCCTCCAACATGTGCTCTGAAGAAGTAATCTCGGTGGTCATCTGCCCACAGTAGTGAATACTGCTCAATTTCCTCACTTTTGGGGATAAAAAACTTATGAACTATTGACAATCTATATATTATACAAATATATATCATGTTGGGTCGACCCGGACCTTGAGCTTGCTATACCCGATGAGCTCTTGGATTGACCCAGATCCGGTCGTGTCTAATATCTAGACTCCAGGCCTAGTCGGGTCAACTCATCAATCAAAGAGACCTGATTTTAACCCCTGTACAGAGGATTAAGTATGAAGTCATTAAGAAAAAATATAGACTTATTATGTTAACTAATCGTAATAAAGTTTTATAATATAAATTTTTTTTTAGACCTTTAGAGAATTTTTAAAGATTGCAGTTCACATAGTTAAACTTCATACCACCATGAGATAAAATGTTATAATTTTTATAATATTTTCAAGTGGCCTGAATCCTAAATAGGTTGGATATAGCTCGGATGTGGACAATGATTTAATTGGGCCAAACCAAACCATGACTTAAGGGATAACATTTTCTTAACATATTTTTTTGAGAAATTAAAGCTCGAAACATCCGTTATGACGAGATTTGCCCCCGAAATTTTGTATTTTACATTCATACTCATTTTTTCTACAATACCTTGATTTAGACCTAAAAATATATATATGAAAAAAGTTTATATAAAGATGCAACCTTGTAATGTAGAACTATGGATGCCCCAAAAAATCCATCGGAAAATGTAGTTTTAATGTTGAAAAACCTTTTGATTGATCATCTCGACTTCGAGATGTATGACTATGAAAAATAAAAAGAATTTAAATCTCATAAATAATGCGTCTTACAACATATTATCTACACCGTTCATTTTCAAGATTTTCATATGTTTATAGATCTACTTGATTTTTACCATTTTTAAAATTTAAAATTTTATAACTAAATATAAAAATAGATTTTGAGATAATCCTAAGAACATTTTACATCAAAATTATGTACCATAATAAAATTTGAAGGTACATCATACCTCTACACCTGTATGCCAACTGCACCATATATATATATATTTATTTATTTATTTATTTATTGAATCTTCATTATCCAAAACCAAGTTAAAAATCTTGACTTCCAATCGTTTATCCGAAGTCCAGACCCAAAACTCACTTCAAAACTTAAAGGTCCTGACTTATAGTAAAAACATACTTTGTTGATCTCGATATGAAGTCCTTGTCACTTTGGACCTATTCCAAACAAAATAAAAAATATATAAAATTGAAATACGAAAGTTTGAGAAAAAATTGTAATAATTGATATAGGGCGGACAAGAACGTAAATTTCTAAAAAAAAAAAAATTAAGGATTAGGAGGTCATATTCCAAGTCGAAATTTCGATACCGAAATCGATCTTCCGCCGAAATATCGGAATCACTGAACGCTATAATTTTGGGCCCAGCTCCCCTTTCTTGGTTTCGCTTCTGCCAAGCTCTCTCTTCCTCTTCCATTCTCCATGGCTCCCAAGGCCGAGAACTCTTCTCTCTCTACTTCTTCAGACACCGAATCCATGGATCCCCTTCTCCATCTCTTGAAGATCCTCCCTTTCTCTTTCCTTAGAGTCCCAAAACTCAGGCTGAAGCTCCCCTCTCTCTCTCTGCCCTCGTCCATGACTGTCTTCTCTCTGGTTTTGCTCACTTACTTCCTGGTTATCTCTGGTTTCGTCTATGACGTTATAGTCGAGCCTCCTGGCATAGGAAGTACCCAAGATCGAGCTACTGGTGCAGTGAAACCAGTGGTTTTCATGTCAGGTAGGGTTAATGGCCAATACATTATAGAGGGCCTTTCTTCTGGCTTCATGTTCGTCCTTGGAGGAGTTGGGATCATTTTAATGGACCTCGCGCTGGATAAGAACAAGGCTCGGAGCGTTAGGGTTTCTTTTGCAGCGACTGGTATCACATCGGTGCTGATTGCCTATGTTATGAGTATGCTCTTTATTCGTATCAAAATCCCTGGATATCTCAGATAGAGAAGAGAAATGGTCATGTTCCATGTTTTGGTTAGGGTTTCTGCCCTAGAAAATGTGGTGGATTCAGGAATTTTACTCTTTTACCTGTGTTTTACATGTGTTATTAGGGTTTTTGAAGCCTTTTGTGTTCTCTGAGGCAAATTTTGGTGATTAAGAAATGCTTACCTTTCATTTATTTGTTAGTTATTTTAGCATATGCAGTGAAAGGTGATAGGAAACCCTAAATGTAGGTTTTCTTGATTGGGAACGGATGAATAATACACTGAAAAAATTGTAGGTTGTTGGGTTGTTACTGCTTCTTTTTCTCACTAAATAGTGTGGTATTTCTCCGCTTGTTATGAGATCTTTATATCCTGCATGTTTTTTGTTGAGAAATTGGGGTTTTCTTGCCTTTACTGTACCTACTAAGAAATTATTTGAATTCATTTTTGCAATTTCCTCTCAGCATGTGTGATTTGTGGAAATGATACTCATGATAGGCTTAAATAAGTAAGATTGTTATCTTGTTCCTTTCATGGGATTGAATTTTCTATACAGAGTAGTAACCTATAGGTTTTGTATTAGTTTTTCTTAACGTTAACTGTTAGTAGTGTGTTAGCAATTTTTGAAACCATTAGTAGTTTTCGAAAGGGGTTAGCATTGTTAGGAACGGAAACGAAGACTTGTGGATCTTTATTCGAAATCATGGATTGCTTCTAGTAATGAAACTAATTTGGGGTGTAATTCTATCTTTGATTTTTGTTTTGAGGCTGGTAAAGTTTAGTCGATGTCATGTAAAAGACATCTGGATACCTGATAGTTGCTTTGTTATATATTTCTTTTGAGAATGTTAACTTTTGTAGTAATAAAAAGAGGCAATTACATGAAGAGGAGACTACCAACGGCATCCCACATATTGGGTGCTCAAATTGCATTCAAAACAAACAGAAAGAGCAAAAAGTGCTCACGGGGGAGAAAGAGAAGGTTTCTTTATTATATATTTGTTGCGATTATTTTACTGTGGTGCAATGTGTGTGTTTGTTTATTTCAGGTTTTACGCATACTAGTAACCTGAAAATTACTTAGTCCCTTAAAGCTATGAGTAGGATTAATGGAATAGTAGGTTTCCACAATTGGTCACACAATCATCACTGAGTGTATTTAGTATGCACTTTTTAAAAACCTGGATCAGCTGGGTGGATTAGCTATCTAGACAACGATCCGGATCGGTGGATTAGAGATACAGATCGGTGGGATCAGCTCGACCAGACCGATACGGCATTAAAAGAATTAAAGAAGTTCTTAAAAATCGTTCCATATATTGTCTTGGGGTTTTTGAAAACAATGGGGGTAATGCATTATGGATTTTTATTATTTTGCAAAAATACACGAATATTGAGAGGTGGTTTCTTGTTTGAATGTTTGTTGACCATTACATTCTTTTCATAGTAAAAATTGAACATAATGTTATCTTGATTATGAATTATACATGGTAAAAAATAGAGTATTAAAATATGACATGGTAAAAAATAGAGTAACTTTAAATATGTGTTCTTCCTCTCGATGACATTATCTCCACTAGTTGAATTCTTGAGACAATTCATTGTGTCGGTTAATGTGTGACCTTGATGGTTTAGAGTCATTAGTAGCCAGCTGACTATTCCCAAAACCCCTGGGATTGGTGACGGCTCTCATAGCCCGAATATTTTGATATAAATATTTTGTTTGAAATGATCCTCACTCATCTCTTTACAATATTTTGAATCAATTATGTAGATATCAATCTGTTACTATGCAGATCTTGCTGGAAAAAAAATCTCTGGTTTACGGTTTTTGCTTAATGTTTTTTTCTTCTTGTCATCATCTGCCATAGAAGAAAAATCTTTAGACTTAATGTGTTTATCTTGACATTGATTTGGGTATTTCAATCTAGGAGTTCTTCTTTCATCTAAAGTATGGATCTCTAATTTTCAATTATCTATTTTTTTACGAAATTGTTTTCTTGGGTTTACCTATTCCTATTGATTTTTTCATTATCTTGGCACAATCCAGCATTTGGCAAATTTCATGATGGATTTTGAACCAAATTTGTGCAAATTTTGATCAAAATGATCTTCATTCGCCCCTCTACAATATTTTTTAATCAATTTCATAAGTCTAAACCTATTACTATGTGGATCTAGGGCAAAAAAGCAAGCTTTTTTTTTTTTCATGTTAGGGTTCTTGAGTTAAAGTTGAACCATTTTTTTAATGTTGGACTAATAAAAAAAGGGACTACCCAACGCCTAGGCGGTCCAGAAGGCTTGGGCGCATCACTCAAGCCTAAGCGGTCAAACTAGGCGGTCTTCCTTGGGCGGTCGCCTAGGCAGTACGGAATCCACCAGGCGAGCCACCTAGAGCCCAGCCCTGGGAGGCCGTCCCGCCCAGAGCCGAAAAACTTTTTTTTTTTTTCATTTTTTTCAAAGATATAAAAGTTAAGAATGATGGATTTTAGGTTCATTTGAACCCTAAACCCATCAAAACCCCTTTTAGAGTAACAAAAACCTCCAAAAAACTACATTTCATTGGATCGAATTATTGAAGTGTTTCCCAAAGTTTGAAGCTCAAGCAACCAAAGTAAGTGCATTTTTTAGATTGCTTGTTTTATTTTGAGATGTCTTCTTCAGGAGTTAGTTGAAGTGGAGATCCGCGTTGGAAATATGGATACAACCCGAATTCAAATGACAAAAGTTGCATTAGAAGCAATTTTGTAAAAAAAATACAAAAAGAGGCAGAAACCGGTTTAAAAAACATCTTGTCAGTATTAAGGAGGATGTTGCCCCTTATAAAAATGTTCCTGAAGCTATTAAGGAGGAGATTAAGCAATTTTTAAGTTTTGGAAAACAAGAATAAAATTATTGTCATAGATCTATTTCTGCTACTCCTAGAAAAAGTGATCCGGGTTGGAAGTATGGGTACAACCCAAAACCAAATGATAAAAATTGTATAAGGTGTAATTTTTGTGAAAAAGATAGCAATGGGAGTATTAGCCAATTAAAAAAACACCTTACTGGTGTTAGAGGCAATGTTGTTTCTTGTACAATGGTTTCGGAAGCAGTTCGAGATGAGATTAGACATTTTCTGAATTTTGAAGAACGAAACAAGAATGAAAATAAGCCTTGTTCTATGGAAGTATCTTCTCCAGTTTTTCTAGTTGGAGTGGTGATCCGAGTTGGAATTATGGTTATAACCCGAATCCAAGTGATAAAAATCGTATTAAATGTAATTATTGTGGAAAGGATACTAATGGGGGTATTTACCAGTTTAAAAAACACCTTGTCGGTATTACGGGGGCTGTTGCCCCGTGTAAAAATGTTCCTGAGGCTATCAAGGAGGAAATTATACAATATTTGAGTTCAGAGAAGCACAAAAAAAAAGGGTAGAGTAGCCAAGACTCTTAGGGCCTCATTTGCACAGACTGCACATACTAGTAAGAGGAAGGTAGAAGAAGATGAGGATGAAGAGGCATATTCAGAAGAAACAGAGGAGGACGAGCATTATATTGAAGAGGGAGATGACTCTGATGATGATGGCCTCGATTGTGATGCATATGATGAGGCTTGCCTTATTGATATTTTTTCTGATGATGATGACTGAAGACTCTTGCCTCTTGGTGCTGACTGTTGAGAGTTGAGTCTGTTGACTGTTGTGTTGAGTCATGAGTGTTGACTTTTGTTAGACTGTATATTTTCTAAATTTCTGTATATTTCTGTTGTATGGAGTGTTGACCGTTGACTCTTATATCCTACACTTGTATGGTTTTACAGTTTACTGTTTTAACAATATGGATAATCAAAATGCTCTTCTCGACTTCTATCTTCTTCTTTTTTTTCAACTTGGAATATGGTATATTGGGATTTTTACTTTTTTTTTTCAACTGGGCAGCCGTCCAGGTTCTGGGAACTCGCCTAGGTGGCCTGGACCCCCCAGGCCGCCTAGCGCTTTTTGATACACTGCTGATATTACAGTTTCTTTTAGTTTAATGTTATTTATTTGTTTAATTTTTGTAATTTAAATTTTTTATTTAGGTCCCATTTATTTAAAAAAACATATTTATTGACATTTAAATTTTGTTCTAATTTTGTTAGAAAGTAAATATGATTTCTTTTAATCATTTTGTTATGAAGAAAATGAAATTTGTGTAAAAAATAAATTAGTAAGGATTTTGTAGTTTCTAATTAAGAGAATATTTATATTGAAATATTCGGGCGAGGAGAGCAATTCACCAGCCTTGGGGATTTGGGTATAGTCAGTGGACTACTAATGACTTTGAACTCGAGACTCGTACATTAACCAACTCAATGAATTATCTCAATAATTCAACCATTGGAGATAACATGATCTTGAGGAAGAACGTCGTCGTCGTTTGTTTTGGTATCAGATTGTATCTTCATATTTGTAAGCTCCATTTCAAACATTACAACCTCTCATTATTCACATATTTTTGTAAAATAATGAAAATCCATAATGCATTACCCTTTTTTTTGGACAACCGAAAAGCAATATTTATTACTATTTTAAAGAATTTTTTGGAGTTCTTTTAAGGCGGATCCAGCCAATCCATTGATCCAAACCAGTTTTCTGTACAGCCATTCCGGGTTTTTAAACACTGGTTATACTGATTAAATTGCTTGTGGAGATTTTATTTGAAACCACATTAGCTTATCCCTTCAAACCTATCCATGTAGTGGCCTGTACATTGATTTGCTAGATGGTTTTAATTATAATCGCAGTAAACATGTGCTTTATGAATGTGGTGATCAATTTTGTATGCAGACAATGTATCATCATGTTTATTAGTGTGCTATTGTTTGAGTTGCCTATGTTTCATTGAACGGGATGAGTTCCAAACAACTAAATCGGCAGATTGTACACTCCAAGATATTGTCTAGGCCTCGTAATTGGGTCTGTTTGGTCCAAATCTGGCTCTAGGTCCAAAAGCATGCCCCCGACTATATCCTCAGCTTGGTCTAGGTAGACCCAACCCAAGCTGACCAGGGTGTGTGTACATACTTTTATTCCAATTTAAAGCCGGCAACTTTATCAAACGAAAGAAAAGAAATAAAAAAAAACAAAAGAAAACTTTCATTCTAGATAGACAACTGATCTCTTATGACTTGTGGCTAAACTGACTTCCTCGCTATGTGCACTGTACATATTTGATGTTGTGGAGGCATCGTGTTTTCGTAACCAATCTGTAAAGGAAATTGATCAGTGTTAGATTATTTTGATGGCCCGAAGAAAGTTTATATGACAAGTATGGAAACTTCTCCAAATTTTGGTAATTTGTTTATCTATGGTCTACAAAAGTTATTTTGATATTTCATCAAGGATGGCTATTTTTATTATTTATTAACTGGGTGTATAATGATTCGTAACATAGTGTCACAGTGTACCTTGCAAAACCATCCATATTTCTGCTCTGGATGAGGGTTAAGGTTGTTTTGATATTTATTTTGTTTCGATACTTGTTTAGTTTCCAAAGGCTTACTGGCACTGTGTTACTCGAAACCTATTACGGTTCTTTTCATCATAATATACATAGCTTTCAACTGCATGACCAGACAAAGGCGGTGTCCTAGTTGGCTGGATTTTCTTGTCCATAACGCCTTCTTTTCAGCCACTCTATCGAGAGTCTAGTTGATGGTGGTTAGTTTGCTTATGTATGGTGAAGCTAGCACTAGGAAGTCATAATTCAACTAAGTGTGACTAATGGTTGGAGCTCTTAGGATCTAAGTGAGAGATAGTCTAGAATGTATCTCAAGACAAAAATTTGAACAATGTTCTTTCCAAATAAAAAAAGACAACAATGTGGGGTGCTTTTAATTTGGAAGGTGTGTCATTCATCACTAGTATGAAATGTGGTAAGCTACCCAACATCCACCTTCCATTCCTAGCGGTGGATAGTGGATATTATCCATTATCAGATACGTTCTTCAAAAAGAACTTTTTCTAGATTGCTTCTAGGTATTTCGCCATTAGGTACGGGTAGATTACTCGGGCATTTTGCTGCTAGACTTGTTGTACAGTGTGAGGGATTGTTTGCTGATTTAGGAACTATGTTACATTGGAAAATATCCAGCAAAAGATAGAGTAATTGGACAATTGGAGCTTTCGCATTTCCAGATGAACTCAATGCATTATTACCTTTGCTTCTTCGCTTGTTAAAGAAGTCCTTGATTGTGTGGGCACTCTTCACTGACAATGCTCCTTGTGCATTTTTATAATAACTTCTCCTTCCATATATAGGAAAGCCACCTACCATCTTCTTTAGCTGATAATGAGTTTGAGATCTACTTAAATTATTGTTTTGATCATGGCTTCATCAAGGTGACTATCTTATGATCTTTCTTTGGAAAACATTTAGCTTTGTTATTGTTTGATTATTCTTTTATCTATCTGGAATGATCAATAATTTGGACCTTCGTGAATGGTCTATGCTGTTTGATTCCGACGTCACTACAATAAACAATTAGTTTGAAGATCCACCCTCTCTAGTACTTCCTTGAAATCTCTCCGGGGCGGAATGATATGCCATGCAGTTCTTTCAGACTCAGGCGAGTCAACTCAAACTCCAAGCCCAAGGCCGTCCCGAACTTGGGGTAATATATAAGTGATCTATAATTATAATGGGTTGATAATGATTTAATCATTAAATAAATCAATTATTGTTAAGAGCATCAAAAAAAATAAATCAATTATTGTTAGCAGAATATAAATAAATAAATCAATTATTGTTATAATTAATTTCCTGTATATTTTTATGGATCTACGATTTTTAATATTTTTCTTATTTATTTCTGTTTTTTGAGAAACTGATAGTTAACAGTTCTCTTTCTTTTACATTTTGGAAACTTTTTTTTCATCTTCTATATACTGCTTCTTGTGTTTATTATTTTTTTCCTGATTTTTACTGATTATACAGATATTTTCTTTTTTTTTTCCAAATTTCTTTGCTCTTTGACCAGCTTGGGGTGGATTGGATGAGTCAACTTGGCTTGACCGTGTAACACCTTCAGGCTAGAGCCCAAGTTCCAGGCATGAGCCAAGTTAAAAATATTGATAGTATGAGACTATTAACCTTTGGTAGAATTTAGTCACAATGACCCCTAGTTAGCAAATGTGATCCCAGGCGGCTGTGGGTGTGCCATTGACAGCTTTTGGATGATTGTGACTTTCTTATATACCAAAGGTAAACGGTCTTGTTGTACACTTTCCATTTTTTTCATAACTCGCATCTTTTTTTTGTATTAGACTTCTTAATGTCCCAACTCCTAGCATCTTTTTTTGCTCTACTGCCAGTAAGTTTCTTTTGAAGATTATTGGTTAGGGAAGAGAACATGTGGAGATCTTTGACTCTCACACGGTAATAGATTCTACAATTCTGTCTTAAATTTCCACCCATGAAAAATAAAACCATCACTTCTTTGGTGACTTGATTCTTGAGTAGGCTTTGCTGCATATGGTTTGTTCTAATCATGCGAGTTTATTTCCTATTTGCGGATAGATTCTTGAGCATACTAATCTAAATTTCTAAAATGTGTTAGAATTTTTTCTTTTTCTGATGGGTAAGCTGGGATTTGAACATCGGAGATCAGTGCTGTGTAGGCCTGCTGCCTGACTACTCAGTCATGAGGTCAAAATCCAATTCTGTTTATCCTCTCTAAACCTTTTCTCATTCTCCTACTCTAGAAAAACTTATCTTCTCCTCTTCGAAAATAGAACAAAGCAAATCCGACGATCTCAACTTGTATACCCTTCATGGTCCTAAGAAAACATCATGTAATTGCTTGCAATTGCCAAGCTTTAGTAGCATCTGCTTATGCTAGAATTTTTTCTTTCCTGGTGTTCTTGGACGATCATGAATTCATGTTGTGTTTTTGGATGAAAGACAATAAATCAATACTTCCACTTTAATGAGTGGAACGCCACCATATATCTTACAAAGTATAAAACAGGAATGAGTGGTCAGCTTGATTGCGTTTGTGGTCATTATAAATGTTGTGTGTAATTCAGCTTCTTCTTTTTTGGGTTGTGATTATAGCTGTGGTATAGGTTCAATGGTTAATATGATCTGGCAGATTGGAAAATTTGTTTACTCTTTCTCTTGATACAAACGTTAACAGATTCAAGGTGGGGGGGGGGGAGAGAATAGATTAGAAAAATCATCTGTTGCATTTTCTTGAAGGCTTTCTATTGGTTAATGCAATTTAGTTGGACAAAAATGCCATTCAATTTGAGTGAGTACGGACTATTTATTTTTTGTACGAAGTCACAATCATTCTTGTCCCTTAAATTTTGAAATGGGCAGTTGTATCAAGAATGTCATAATGGCATTGAATAAACAAAAAGTTCCAAAAAAATTTTGTCAGATTTCATATTTCCTTCCAAGCCACAATTTGACATCTAATGAGTGGGAGCTTCCAAAGCTTCCAAGTGTGAAAGATAGAAGGTCTCTTTGTAGGTTATCCTTAATAAAATTTCACCATAATGGATATGGTCATTACAAATTTACAAATACATGGAATTGCTATTTATGCTTGCCATTTGCAAATATCATTGCCCACTTTGTAGTAACTAGTGTGAAAAATGTGCCCAAGTAATGTGCATAGGGTGAGTCCTTTTGCAAGAACACTAAAAAAGTGGGGTTTTTATTAACATTCACCATATGTACTTACAATTCACCCTAATATTATAGATAAAAATTAATTTGAGGTGTAGGGGTATTACTATTTAATATAACAAAAATTTGAAAATATTACTAATTGCACATTGGCTTTTTGATTTAGTGCCACATTAATCACACATTAAATGTTTGGAGCCCCATTGTCCATGAGAATTATTGCATTTATCCTCTGTGAGTGAGAGAGATATTTTCCTTTCAAATTTTTTTTCCTCTTTCAATTCCTTAATAAAGAAGCAAGTCTAGGCAGAGGCTGACTCAAACTAGAAACCCAAGCCAGCATGCGATAGTTCAAAATAAATCATCTATGAACTTGTTCATCTCACAAGCTAAACCTAAAACCACAAAGTATAAAACAAATTCCACAGACCCAAAACCAAATCATAAGTCTAACAACAGTGTAAATGCATAATATTGACACCCAACATGCTAAAAGAAAACCCCCATTCTCACTCTGCACATTCTCTCTCTAACCCCAACAAATCTCTCTCATCTTGCAAAATGATGCCTTGGAGAAAAGAGCCTCTTAGGAGAGAACATCCCCAGGTAACCAGGTGAAGAGAGCCCATCAATTGATCTATAATCCTTCGAAGGCAAAAACCCTTCTTTCCCTGTAGCATTCAGCATGGATCCATTGAAAGTCCCACACTTAACCAGCTTTCCAATCCATGACTTCTTGGCTTCTTTTCCGTTACCATTCATTTTATTCAGTAGATACTCTTTCACTGCCTCAATGCTTTGCTCTGTGACTACAATGGGAGGAGAAACCAGAGGGTTCCCTAGAACACACAGCTTCTGCAACTTCGTCAACCCGGCTATCGATTCGGGCAAAACCTTAATTTTGTTGTAGCTGACGTCGAGGTCTCGAAGAGAGAGCAAGAGACCTATAGAATATGGCAAGGTTTCTAAGTACTGAAAGTTTTGGCTCACATTTAAGACCTCTAAGTTTACTAGGTTTTCCAGGTCTTGGGGTAAAGATCTCAGGCAATTGAGGCGGATGTCGAGAACTCGTAGGGAGGTGAGGTGAGAGGTGGAGTATGGAAGGTGGGGGAGCTTGTTTGAGCTCAGGGAGAGCTTCCGCAAGTTTAGGAGCTCGAATCCGATGGTGTCAGGGAGCGTTGTTATGTTATTGAAAGTGGCATTCAGGTCTTCCAATGCCCTGAGGAATGTCAGAGAGAGAGAGAGCAGTGAATAGCTGTTCCTTGTGTGTGTATGAGAGAGAGAATAGATGTGACTGAGAGCAAGAGCGGTTATGACGTGTTCGTGCGTGAGACAGAGATGTGAGAACCAGAAAGAGGGTGATAGCAAGAACATTGATGTGCTTGTGTGAGAGTGAGAATAGATGTGTGTGTCTTGGGGGGAGAGAGTAGATGTGTGTGTGCTCTGTGTGAGAGAGATGGATGGTTTGTGTGTATGTGTGAGAGGGATGGATGGTGTGTGTGTGTGAGCAAGCAAATAGATGTGTATGTGTGTGTTAGAGAGAGCAAATAGATATGTGTAGATGTGTGAGAGAGAGCAAATAGGTGTGTGTATGACAGTATGAGAGAGAGAGAGAGGTAAGTTTAGATAAGATTGTACCAACAATAGTAATGGAGATTGAAAATTTACTTGCAATTTTCAATGGTTTTTGGGAGTGTTTCTAGTAGGTTCGCAGAAACATTGAGGACCTTGAGCTTAGACAAGCATCCAATTGAATTTGGCAGCAACCTCAACTGGTTTGAGTGCACATCCATTATAGCCAAATTTAGCAACCTCGCTATTAATGACTCGGGAATGCTCTGAAAATACAACAAAAAAATCATTACTTCTCAGTATAAACATGTACTAGAAAAACCATTTTATTTTCGATATATATCTCAATTATCCCTGTTATTTATACAGGTCACAATGGGTTGGGTCGGGATCCATCGCCACCCACACTTATTTACTGTCTCTCTCCCTCTAAAATAGTTGAGTTATTTGTCGTTTGTGGAGGAAAATCCCAAATGGCATGCAAAAACGTAGGGTATCCTGTCTTCTTTATGGGGGCTGCCATTTTCAGATTCGGGACCAGAAAAACCAAAAGCAAAATACAAGAAAAAAGGTAATTAAAGAAGGCGGTGTATAGGCAAACGAGATGAACCCAAAAACACCGGAAAGTTTATATACGTGCCGAGGTTATTTTATTTTATTTTATTTATTTTTATTTTAAGAATAGGGAGTGAGTAACGATATTTAGGTGGGTATGGGTTTATTTTGTGTTTGAATTATATTGATTAATTGGGTTGGTTACTTTGTAAAAATATATATATATAAATAGCATAAAATCAAATCTAAGGGTTAAAATCTAAAAAGAGGTTTTGGATAAATCGTGGGCTATTTATTTAAAAGCAAATCTCTTTGGCACGTGAAGTTAAGAGAGAAAATAAATTAAAAAAAAAAAGGAGAGATAAAATAAGATAGTTTGTTTTAGTTATTATTTTATTTAAAAGATATCTTTTTTTTTTTTTAGTCTATTTAAGGGAGATCTTCTTTTATTATAAAAAGGAGTGAATGAGTTGTTAGAATTAGAAAGGGTTTCTATGTTTCCCCTACAGCATAGAAGTTCTATCCTCCTTTTATTATTTGATCAAGAGAGCTACTCATTGTTTGGTCTTAGATATGACGTCTCAAAATATTTTATTTTTAATTTTTTATTCAAATTGTATGAATATAAAATTTGGTACATGCCAAATTTTCATTGGGGTGCACCTATAAAAATATTAAAAATTATTTTTCGATAAATAAAATGACCAAAATACCCCTTGAAACTTTCAAAGGTATTTTGATCATTTTATTTTATTAAAAATATTTTTTTATATTTTATGAATGGCCATCCAAAATTTGTGTCAAAATAGTTTATAGAAAAAATAAAAAATAAAATAACGTAGAGGCATGACATTGTGATTGAGACAATCTTAGCCCTCCATTCAGAATGAAGAGTTGGATAAAGAGGAGGATAGTTCTATGTTATAGGGGAAGCATAGAAAGCTTGCCCATAAAAATTTTTTCTGAGATTGCTTTTGGGATAGATTTATTGCTTTTGGGATAGATTTACTTGTAAGGTATACTTTTTTAAATCATTTTTTTTTGGTAGATTCCCTCTCAATGGGAGGGGTAAGGTATATTTTTTAAATCATTTTTTTTTGGTAGATTCCCTCTCAATGGGAGTGGTATATTGTGGTTCCCTCTCAATGAAAGGGGTATATTGGGGTTTTTTCTCTCAATGAAAGAGGTATATTCTGTTAACTTTTTTTTTTTGGTTTTTTATGGTTTTATTTTCTCTGCATCAATTGGTATCACAACAAATTTGATACCAAAAGCCATCAATAATCAAGCTAACCATGTTCATTGTTGGGGACGAGCTAATCCTGCTAATCGTTGGGGACGAGCTACAGAAATTTGACTAAAGCCCTAAAGGATTTCGATCGGAAGTACTCAATTGGTGTCACGAATTTGGCCGATAAATTTCTTTGTTATGCTAAATCAACACTCAAGGTTTGTCGTGGTGTTACAGACGCAAGATTAATAAGGATGTGAATATCTTCTTCATGAGGTAGATTTTTCTCCAACTGTTTGGATCTTTAATTTATCTCTATGTGAGTACCTTCTTAACAAAACCGCCGGATCGAAATCCTCTAGGGCTTTAGTCAAATTTCCGTATCGAAATCCTCTAGGGCTTTAGTCAAATTTCTGTAGCTCGTCCCCAACGATGAGCATGATTAGCTTGATTATAATGGCTTTTGGTATCAAATTTGTTAAGTATTATTAAGTGAGGATTTTATGGAATAGATTAAGAATAATTAAAGATCATGCGAGAATGAGGTAGCTATTTTGGAAAAGTTGGTGAGATTTAGAGATAAAATAGGGAGATAGCATGTGAGGAGATAGGGAGGAGATTTATGTGGAAGTTTGAGAGCAAAAGAGATAAGAGAAAATGGTACGGAGACTTTTAGAGAGATAAAAGAGTTTATTTATAGAGAGTTTATTTATTATGGATTTTTTATTTGTTTTTTTTTTAAAGTCTATTTAAAGTGAAGAAGTCCTTTTATTATAAGGTAGTGAATGAGTTTAGTATAATCCTTCTAGACTTTTGAAAGAGTCCTTTCTTTTTTTTTATTTAGCCTGAGGAAGAGATTGTTTTTTTAGGTGGATTCTTTCCGGATCTTTCAGATATGGTATATTCTCTCAATTTTTTTACGGTTATTTTTATTTTGAGAGAGAATATATTCTCTGAACCTTTCTCATGGGATCAGAGAGGCTCTAAACATATAAGGCCGCCTCAAAAAATTTCACTAGAAGAGATTGTTTTGATGCCCAAATATCACCAAATTGAATTCACCTAAAAAAAAATTGGTGCAAACTCACCCAAAAAATAATAATCATCAAATTGAACATCTTATTTGAAGATATTGAGGTCAAGATGTATAGACATAAGAAAAAAAATTAGATTTCAAGTTTCGATAATAATGTATTTTGTAATGTATTTTTGGACGGTCAATTTTCAGGATTTACAAGTTTTCATAGATCCGTTCAATCTACACTATTTTTAAAGCTTTAAATTTTATAATTAGATATAAAAATATATTTTCAAAATATCACATAGATTTTCATAACGATAACCACATTTTTTTACTTTTTTTTTACTTTAATCGTTAGGTGACCACATTTTTTACTTTAATTGTTTAGAGGCTCAGCCTTATACAAACCGCATAAAAAAACAAACAAGACAATACAAGAGAGAAGGTCAAAGATAGAGAGAGAGAGAAAGGAAAAGCCAAAAATAGAGAGAGAACCCACTTAACTGACAGCAGTAGAGCGTGTCAAGCGGACCACCCCAAGAGAGAGTAAGAGAAAAATACAAAAGCAAAACATAGAGAGAGAACCCACTTAACTGATCGCATGAGAGTTTCAAGCAGACCACCCAAGAGAGAGAGAGAGAGACCACATACATGAAGAGAGAGGGAAAGAGAGAAAAATGCCACATACATGGAGAGAGAGAGAAAGAAAGAGAGACAAATACCACATACATGGAGAGAGAGAGAGATGGACATGGGCAACATGAAAAGATAAGCGTGTCTATAAACTGCACTAGATTCAAAAAATGATACTGGAGAATTTTCATCTTTTTCTACTAATGGTGATGCTTTATTGGTTTAAAATCTTTCAATTTTTTTACAACTTAGAAGAGAGAGAGAGAGATTGCACTCTCCACAAATGCTGCAACAAAACACCAATTATCCACTAGAGATACAAAAAAAATAGAAATGCTAGAAAAATCTCTCTCTGAAATTTTTTCTTAAAAAATGGAACTCCACAATGAGAGAGAGGATGCCAAAAAAAAAAAATGAAAAAAAGAGCCAAGGAAACAGACAAGTACCTCTAAATTATTATTAGAGAGGTCCAATTTACTGATGACTGCCAAATTAATGGAGGGGGATGAGGGAACCTTTTCCAGCCCCAAGCCGCTCATATCCATGGCCTCCAATTCCTCCTCCAAAACCCTACTGTTTCTCTCTCCTCCTCTCATCTCCACCTTCACTTTTTTCTTAATTTCTCCCATACACGGCCAAAAAAAACGCACACAGAAATACAGGAGAGTTACACAGAGAGATAAAAAGGCAGCTGGGGGGTCGACTGGAAAACCAAGAGACCCTAAAAAAAACAAGAGAAAGAAAAGCCCAAAAATTGAGAGAGAGAGACGAAAACAAAGAGAGATACAGAGAGAAAACCTGAAATGACTATGAGAGATATGGCGAAAGACTGAGATAGAGAAATGCTCTGAGAGAGAGTTAAAAAACTACGATAGAGGAGAGAGAGGGGTGAAAAACCAGAGGGAGAGTTAGAGAGAGAGAGAGGCTGAACGACCAATTGAGAGATGCAGAGGCTGAAAAGCCATGGACAGAGGAGCTGAAAACCCAAAGAGAGCTAAAGCTAGAGAGAGAGAATGCTAGAGAGATACAGAGGCTGAAAAAGCAAGAGAGAGAGAGAGAGAAATGGAGACTGAAAAAGCAATAGAGAGTGGAGAGAGAGCTGAAAAACCAGAGTGAGAAAGCTAGAGAGAGAGAGAGAGAGAGAGACTGAGAGGAAGGTGAAGAGGGATTGAATGGCCCTCCCTATCATCCATCGTATATAAGCAGTTCGTACGTATTGAACCTTGCAAGTACAACCGTACACGTGTTTCTGACGTCATTACGGATAATGTACAGGCCGTAGAGGTTGCATGTTGCGCCACGTGGATAACAATGTCAACTCCCTCGGTTGTGGCAATCGACGGCCCTCCGTGAATGACGGCGATGGTTACCTTCTCTCATCTTATTTCGCGTGCCGTTTTAAATTGGAAGTTAGGACAATGACAAAACTGCCCACTAGGAGCAAGTCTATTTCCCTAGATGAACCTCCTTTTTTTAAAAAAAATGGAAAATTAGAATTGTAATTAAAAAATATTGGAAAAAAAAAACACTTGGTTTTAGATTAGAGAAGCGACTTATGGAGATGATTCTATGGGCCGACTGGCCGATAGCACACTGTAGAGCAAGTAGCCAAGATTGAAGAAAACAGATGATGGGCTGCTTCAGTCATTCCTAACAAAAGTTTCTGTTGCCTATCTAATACAACCTTCATTCTTTCTCATTCGGGCTTAGGACAATTGGTTTTAGATTAGAGAAGAGAAATATGATCCAAAAGTGAGAGATGATTCTTTGGGCCGATAGCACACTGTAGGTCAAGTAGCCAAGATTTAACAAAATATACGAAATGTGTAGTTGAGTCATTATTATTAGAATTCATAACAAAAATTTTATGTTAACTGCCAATCTAATACAACTTTTTTTTTATCGAAGCTTGGGATCGGCAATGACAGAATAATGATATGACAATTTTCTCCTTTTTCATCGAGGCTTGAAATTCCTTTCAAGAATAATGATATGACAATTTTCAAGAATAGATAGGTTTTGAGTTGCTAAATAGTTAGATTTAAACCTCTTTAAAATTAGATAACATATGCTCAATCTGAGGTGTATATATATAGTGGCATTTAATGTTATATGTGGGTTATGCATACCCATGTAGATGACATCACATCTCTGCTAATTATTAAAAATGCTTTTATTAAAAAAAGCTCTATATATAAAATAAGGGTTTGTATGTGTCCAAATTTTGTAGAGTATAATGATACACCCTAATACATGTTATTTTATTTTATTTTTCATGTTGATCACTATATTGAAGATGACGCATTTCAAATAGAAACCACAACATGATAACTAGGTGCTACTACCACAACCTCAACCCTTTTTCCAAAAGGGAGGGCTTTCTATGTGATCCCACCCACATATATAGTATTAGTGACCCCGGTTTCAACCATCAGATCTGAGTAGATGGCTGAGATGACTTGAGTCACAATGTCACAAGCTAGCACTTAACCGTCAGATCCTAACTAGGCGGCTCATAGTGTTTTATTTTTATTTTTATTCTACAAATAATTTTGAAGCAAAATTTGGGGCATATATAGATCTAATAAAGGTGCACTTGACAAAAATATTAAAAAAAAAATATTTCCGGTGATAAAAATTTACCATAATACGCCTGAAAATTATAAGGGCATTTTGGTTATTTAATTTTACATAAAAATATTTTTGTTTTATTTTTTCCATGTTCACCCTATTTGTCTAATGGGACGCCCAAAATTTAATATAAAATTTTTTATAGAAAAAAAATGAAAAATAAAATAGTGTTTGACGTGATATTGTAGTACGAATCATTGTAATAAATGGGTCACATTTAACTTATATATTGTTCGGCCACATATAAACATTTTCTTTCCAAAAAAAAAAAAACTGGATAAGATAACTTCACTTTGTTGACGTATTGGAAGATAGACACCACTTAAATAGTTCTGACTTTGTATAAAATTTATCCACTCATTTATTGAAACATTCTAAATACACATCTGTAGGTCAATTTTGGAAGTAAATACTCATGCGAAAACAAATAAGAAAAATTTATATCAAAACAAACCTCAAAGATGAAGATTTATAAATTTAATTTCAAAGTACCCATCAAATACACATGATCATTACTTCAAATAACTGCAAATGGATAAAAATGTGAAATAATTTATAAATTACATATATATATTGATAAATTTCTCAGTAAATAAATATGCTCTCGCAGGACTAGATAATTTTTTGGTTTTTTCTAATAATATTTTTATCCATTTAATTGTCTTTTGGCTTTGAGGTTATTTATTTGGTTTTTATATTTATTTTTTTGTCCTTTAATTATATTCCCAAAGAAAGAGAATCTATTATGTGACATGTCTTCATTGACTTCATTCATTGCCGAGTCCTAGAAATGCCACGTGTCATTATGAAATGATACGTGGTGTTATCGATTATCGCCGTACATTCAGCGACGACTTTTCCCTCCTCCTTTGATCGGCTCGGCTCTGGAAATAAATAAACGGAAAAGTTATATAGAGACGAGGCTCTAAACAATCAAATTACAGCCACCTCAAAAATTCTTCTAGAACTGGTTCTTTTGATGCTCAAATATCTTCAAATTGATTATCTTGGCATCAAGATGCATGGACATGAGAAAAAAATGAATTTCAAGTTTTGAAAGTAGTGCATCTTGTAACGTATTTTTGGACTGTCAATTTTCATATATTTTTTCAAGTTTTCATATATCTGCTTGTCCTACACTATTTTTGAAGCTTTAAGTTTTATAATTAAATATAAAAATATATTTTAAGGTTATCACAAAAATTTTCAGTATTGAAACAACATTTCTTGATACTATTTGAAGGTGGGCTTTTATATTTTGATTGTTTAAAGCCTCGGCTCTATAGGAACCGCACCCATAAATAATAGATAAATAAATAAGAGGCACAACATGTGTGATTTTGTGAATAATTATATATATGTATAGAAAAAATGGGATTGTATATAATGAGACTATTTACCTTTGATAAAAAGTTTTCACAATTATTTACAACCATTCGTAGTGAAATTTGATTACTTGGGTCTGTCACAAAATTCGAGAAATTTTCTTTTGAAGTTTAAGTTTGGTTAATGAAATAAATTCAGCCACATAATTTCACATCTAATGATCAAGATTAATTGTGACCACCTTATACTAAAGGTAAATAAATTCTATGCCTTTCCAAAAACAATTTGCATAAAGTGGATACCTAAAATTAAGGTATATATATACATATAAGCTATTTTATGAGGATAATTATTGGATAATTATCAATTAAATGATCAAATCAACCTAAAATTATTAAAGTAGTTAAATTTCACTTCACAGTCAGAGCAATTATTTTTTAAATTTCTAATCCAAGCAACTACCTTTTTTAAAAAAGGATGAGAAATAATCGAAGTGCCTATGTTTAGGATTGTCAACCTTAAACAAGTAAAATATTTGGTGGTTTGGCCCACTAAAGAAGCCCAAACCAAGTAACATAAACACCCCTAATTGTTCGAAGAAAACTGTGTCTTAATTTCAAATTTTGAAAAATAAATTTCAATAACAATACGTTTTGGGTTTGAAACCCATAACAAATGAAGGTAAGTCATCTTGCTGGTCTAACTTAAATATTTGTAGGGGGTTTGACCATCTTAATAATATTGTCTAAAGCGTGCATCCTTTTAAGGTATTAGCCTTAAAAAAAAAAAAAAATGAAATTAAGATGCATCTTCAAACTTTATCGGAAGATGTACTTTTGGTGTCGTAGGTATCTAAGACGACCTCTAAATCTATTTTCACCCTAAATCTAAAATTTAAAGCTACAAAGATGATAACAATTGAGCACATCTACAAACACTTGAATGTCTTGAAAATAGAATGTTTAAATAATATATTATAAGATACACTAGTTTTACAACTATTATTTTTTATTTTTATATCTATGTACGTCAAGGTCAACATAATCATTTAAATTCTTAAGCATCAAAACAACGTTTTATTATAGATTTCTAAGGTGCGGTTATTATTATTGCCCAAGGTTGACGCCTTGTATATATATTTTTTATCGAAAAGATAACAAAAAGAAAAAATGGGTCGAAGGATTAAAAGACTCGTTTATTTTTAGTACAAAGAGATCATAATCATTATTGTTCATTAGATTTCAAATCAAATAGTTGTGAGTGAACTGTTGGCTAGATTCAAAGTTCAAAAATAAAATTTTTGAATTTTGTGACACAGCTTAATACATTCAATTTAACATCTGATGGCTATGAGTAATTGTGACCTCCCTAATAAAGATAAATCATTAATGCACAATCCCAACAAATAAAACAACATTAAAAAAGTAAATAAAATAAAACAAGAAAAATTGTTTCATGCGGGCTAGACTGCATTTCTACATATGCGGTTCCGAAAGTGGGTGTTCCATCTAAAAACAATAGAAACTATCGATCCAAATGTTTTTTTACTAAGAATATTATTTTTACTTTTTAAAATTTATTTATTTATTTATATTTATTATCTCCATGTTAGAGATTGCATGTCCTTAAAAAAACTAAGTCTTGAAATCCATCTCAAAAATAGATTTATTAAGAGGCCAGGATTTCTACATATGCAAGCTTGACCGCAGCTCTACATATGCAAGCTTGGCCGCCTAGAAACCGTGTGTGCTTCTTGCTTGGGCCAAGCCTAGAGCCAGTGGGCAATATTATTTTGGAATTTTAAAAATGAAGTTGGTGAAGATTCGTGTACTCAAAGGCACGGAGCCGTACTGATTTTTCCACCTCGTTATGTGTATAAAATTTATTGCATTATTTATTTTGTTCCTTAAATTTATTATTTCTTAAAAGGGCACCTCTTTCTTTAGGTTTAAGGTTTCGAGTACAGCTACGATATGTGAATGCATCCAATCCGTCGCGACAAAGGATGAGAGGAGTACGTAGAATCATAGTGTGGTCCCGCATGATCATATTGTATAATTACTCCTTCAAGTAAAGAAAATGAAGTTCTTTTTTGTTATGTGAAAT